ATGTGTGTGAAAAAAATAGTTTATTGATTTAATTGTTATGTAGGAGTTTCGTAGTAACAAACGATTATGTGTATTTTGTGTGTGCAGATCTCCCGCAAAAAATTACTAGACAGTTTTGTATTGGAAAAACACGCTATGGCTACTCCGCTCCGATCCGCCGAATGGGCCGTGTTGCTCTATGCAGGCAGTCAATATATTGATAGGCTTAATAAAAAAAATGTAACAAATGTAGATTTTACTACCAAGTGCTTACTACAGATGTAAATTTCTGATTAGAAAAAACATCGCGCAAAGCATATCGGTTAGGTTCCCTTGAAAGCTATTGTTAGTAAAGCATGCAAAATGGGTATTTACATCATGAAGTATATTTATACAGTTACATAATTATTATTTTGTGCTATTGAAACTCTACCATCAAATGTATTTTAACTACAAAGCATTTAAATATTAAAAACGCGGTCCTGACACGTGGTTACTAAAGCATGTGTAAACAAGAAAATATTTATGAATTTTTATTTTCGTTTTTAAAGTTGTTACATACATATTGGATTTGCTACTAATATACGAAGCGGATACTGATATGGTTATCCCTGCAAATGATATAATAAATATATAAAGGGCTTGCAATAACAGCTACATATGCAAATCCATTGAATATGATTTCAAACCTATAGCTCGGTTCGCTTATCGCCGCAATCGTTCCAACGGGAATGAAGATATAATGCGGCGAAATCATGAAACATTAAAAATGAGGTGAAACTTTAATAACATTTTTATTTTGACTAAATGTTAAGAAGGCATGTAAAATGTTATAAATCTGTCAGTTACTTCTTCAATCATATCAGGGGTCACAAACTCACGCTAAATCACAAATTGAATTCAAACCAAGTATGGGTTTGGTGACCAACCAAAAAAAAGACTGTTATTGTCTTGTACTATATAAAATTTTATTAACTAGATAAATCAGTTACATATATTAGCTTCTGACCCCTGGTCATAATGATAAATATGTACAAATGTATGGACGGTTAACAATTTCACATAGTTACAATTTATTGATGCTGTTAGTTTATTATAGTAAGAAAATATTTATAAATTTTTAAGAGTGCATTTTACTCTTAGGTATTTCTGGAAATTAAAAAAAAACTTGAAATCGTCCTTTTAAAAAATAATTTACAGCTAAACAGCAGAACATTAAAAAGAAAGAAAAAGAAACCAAATAAAGGAGTCGAAATATAGAAACAAAATAAAATAAAAATTAACTTACAATGCATCTAATATGATAGTAAATCAACACAAAATAAAAATTCCATACTGTTGTCAATAATAAAAAAATACTATTAACTTGAATTTTATTACTTAGTCGGAATATACGAAATAAACCAAAAAACGGAATACGACAAAAATTATACATTTTGAAGGTACTACAGTCAAGTCTGGCAATTTTACCAATGGAAGTTAACTTTGCCATCAGCGGAAAACATAACGTTTTTCGAGATATGCCATTTTTTGGATGAAAATACAATAACTAATTGACAGCATTGCTTTCGATATGGCAACATGTGAGTTAATTTTGGCATTTTATTTTAACGCGGAATTGTGCCAAAATAACCTCTTTGTTCAGTGCTCCAGAACTTTAGTTTTTTTAAGTTTGAAATACTGAATGTAGGTATCTATATCTTTGTAGTAACGCAATATTAATGGTTATCAAATGTAATATATCGTTTTTAACGTGTTGGTCTTAATATTTAACTATAAAAATAACTTTGCAATGGTACCATACTAGAGATGTCACGGTTGTGGCGGTTACTTTGCCATGTTTTGCTACAACCGAGGGTTGCCACTTTTAAACGATTTCACCTATTTAAACAAGGTGTTCTGTACTTGACATTCTATGTGTGTAAGTATGTTTGTATCGATGTTTCACCGTAGCTGCCTATTAGACCGATTTTACCAAATGAGTCGTCAATCAATTCATCTTTATCAAAAGTGAAAGAAATGAGAAATTTATATTATTTTTACTGCGTTGTTAGGCATTAATAATATTATTACTACTCAGTATTTTTCATAATTTCAACTTAGCGTATTATGTTACACAAAACAATATTTCGATTGATTACAATAATGATGACCTGACATAATTTTATTACGACCCGTAATAAAATGATGATGATGACTAATACAAAAACGAATACTTGTTAAAAATGATTGTGACAAACTTTTTTATCTATACTATAATTGATTTAAGCTTACTATTATTGCACGTATTTTTATTGCATCCAAAGTCCCGAAACCTTTCAGCTCGAGTTACAAAACCGTTTTCAGTGCCTAGAAGACTGCAATGAAGTGGACGATATGAATGACAAGCTCGTGGAAACTGTCCATGCGGTCGGAGCTAAGTTCTGCAAGACCCGCCGCAGAAGAACACAAAAACTCTCCGATCACACTCTTAATCTCATGGCTGTTAGACGGGAGATGAAGCTACATTCTTCAACAGATTTAACAGCATACAGGCAACTGAACAGACAGATCTTCAAATGCATGCGGCGCGACTTACGCAACTTCAATACAGCTCGTATTGAAGAAGCGATCAAGCGGAACCAAGGCTCCAAAGTCTTTGCCAGAGATCTGTCTGCCAGAAAGCGCCAACTGTCAAAGCTGAAGACAGAATGTGGCAGCATCGTTTCCGGGGCACCTGAGATTTTGAGTGAGATTGAGAGGTTCTATGGGCAGCTGTACACATCATCGTTGGAGCCGCACGCAAGTGTGAGTAACGATCCAAGAGCGAGTCTTATCCGACATTATTCCGTTGATATCCCGGACGTCAGTCTGAGCGAGATTAGAATGGCTCTCCAGCACCTTAAAAACGGCAAGGCCCCAGGCGAGGATGGAATTACAGCGGAGCTTCTGAAAGCGGGTGGAAAACCGGTACTTGAAGTCCTTCAGAAGCTCTTTAATTCCGTCCTCCATGGTGGCATTACACCGGAGGCGTGGAGCAGAAGTGCGGTGGTCTTGTTCTTCAAGAAAGGCGACAACGCTCTCTTGAAGAACTACAGACCGATATCCCTTCTGAGCCGCGTCTACGTGTTGTTTTCGAGAGTCATTACGAATCGTCTCGCGCGCAGACTTGACGACTTCCAGCCTCCCGAACAAGCCGGTTTCCGAAAAGGCTTTAGCACCATAGACCACATACATACCCTTCGGCAAATTGTACAGAAGTCCGAGGAGTACAATTTGCCACTATGTCTGGCGTATGTGGACTATGAGAAAGCCTTTGATTCCGTCGAAATTTGGGCGGTGCTGCAGTCCCTTCAGCGATGCCGAGTTGACTGTCGGTATATCGAAGTGTTGAAGTGCTTGTACAGTAGGGCTACGATGGCTATCCGAGTACAGAACCAGAGTACGAAACCTATCCAATTGCAGAGAGGTGTAAGACAGGGTGACGTCATATCCCCGAAACTCTTTACCGCTGCATTGGAAGATGTTTTCAAGCTTCTGGACTGGAAAGGATACGGTATAAACATCAATGGCGAGTACATCACTCACCTTCGATTTGCCGACGATATAGTCCTTATGGCAGAATCGCTGGAGGACCTAAGCACTATGCTCAATGACCTCAATAGTGTTTCCCAACGGATAGGTCTTAAGATAAACATGGACAAAACAAAGATCATGTTTAATGTCCATGTCACACCTATGCCGGTAGTTGTTGGGAACACTAAGCTCGAAGTTGTTGACGAGTATGTTTACCTGGGACAAATAGTCCGACTAGGTAAGTCCAACTTCGACCGAGAGGTCAATCGACGGATTCAACTCGGCTGGGAAGCGTTCGGGAAGCTACGACACATCTTCTCGTCAGGTATACCTCAAAACTTGAAAACGAGACTGTACACCCAGTGCGTGTTGCCAGTGATGACATACGGAACTGAGACGTGGTCCTTCACTGCTGGCCGGATGAGGAAGCTCAAGGTCGCTCAGCGAGCTATGGAGAGGGCTATGCTCGGAGTTTCCCTGCGTGATAAACTCAGAAATGAGGATATCCGCAGTAGAACTAGAGTGACCGACATAGCCGAACGGATTAGTAAGCTGAAGTGGCAATGGGCCGGCCATATAGCTCGAAGAACCGACAACCGATGGGGAAGAAAGGTTCTCGAGTGGCAGCCTCGTACCGGCAGGCGAAGTGTAGGGCGTCCCCCCACTAGATGGAGTGACGACCTGGTAAGATATGCAGGAAGTCGATGGATGCAGGTGGCTCAGGACCGTGCTTTGTGGCATTCTTTGGGGGAGGCCTATGTTCAGCAGTGGACTTGTGAATGGCTGTAATGATGATGATGATGATTATTGCACGAATTTGTTTTTAATTTTAAACGAGAGTATTTTTTGTTTGATATATTTTAGATTTTTGCTTAATAAATTATTGTGACAAGATTAAAATAAAAAAAAATTAAGTACGTAATCAAAGATTTTTGACAACCCTGACACATATTTTCAAGTTTTTATGAAATATTGAATAATGGGAGGGCAACTTTGCCACAAGAGTAAATTTTATTATTTACAACTCAATTAAAGAAGCAAATCATAAGTCTGAGTGTTGTGTATTATATTATGAGGTAAACTTACCTTCAACCATTAAGTCAAGTATTATTATTTTCTTTATAAACCTTGATGGCAAAGTTGCCACAAAGTGAGATTAACTTTGCCATTTTCTATTTTTGAGTCTTTTATCTATTTCATGTTAGTATTTGTTTAAATCACTAATGAATACCAAATCTATGAAGAATATAATAATGTCACATTTAACATTGACGCCCAGTCTGACAGTACATTTTTTTCTTGGAAATTTGGTCCTAAACTTTTAAGTCCTTCCAAAAATGACAAAGTTGCCAGGTTTCAAGGTAGCATAAATTTAAAAACATAAATACATTTTTGAATTGAACGACACCATTCGAAGCGCAATAATGAGTGACATGTGTGAAATCAAATTTTCATTATACACTAACCTGTAGTAAGCGCTGGTGTCCACTCTTGTTCACCAGTAGCTCCCCAAAGCAACGCTAACGATGCATTGTTAGTTGTAGATGTGGTCGTGGGCGTGCCCAAACCGCTTGATATTGTGCTCAATCCGCTCGAACCCGTGCCCAAGCCGCTGGAACCTGAGCTCAAGCCGCTCGAACCTGTGCCTAAAACGCTTGTAGCAGTTCCCAGTACACTAAGCGCACCTGAGGCGCTTATCAAGCGCTTACGATTGCTCATCATGTTACCTAATTAAAATAGACAACAGACATTTAATTTAGCATAATTTTATAATAATTTAAAAAATAGTAGTCAACAGATCAATTATCCATAACATGAAATTCACTTACCATCAACTTGATATACGGAATGATTGTTATTCATGATAGATAAACCATTTTCCTTTGCAATGTTATTTTCGCAGCGGTTGTCGTCGTTCCTCGACGCAGGTTCACCGGCCGGCCGAGCTTGATAATGATGTTGTTGGATAAGAACACCTTTTGGACCTGGCCATAAATAATAAAACAAAAAAATTACTCCATAGTAAGCTTAATTTTTTTTTAACGTAATTGTGACAAACTAGGATGGAATCAATATCTACCATGGTACTGACATTCATCCCCGAAAATAATCAAATTATGGTTGAGTCGCCATCGCCGGAAGATTAAGGCCTGTGTAGACAGTTAACTTCATGTGAAAAATAAAACCCAGACTATACGTGTGCTAACCGCATACGACTGTGGCACAAGTGATACATCAAATCTACTACCTAAGTATATGTACTCGTATATTTTGTTATATCTTTATAAAATTGTACTCTCGATAGCTCAAGTACAAACCATAGTGGTTGTCATAATATGCTATCATTTTATGATGAACATTGAAATGCTTTGTTTGTTTTTTCAATAATATTTGATGAATAAAAATCCGCAGCAGAACCACAGTAACCAATATAACCCAAATAGTCGTCAAGCTGAAGTGACAATTGACCGACGACAATAATCGGAGTGTAGGGCGGCTCCCTACTGTATGGAGTGACGACGGTAAGAGATGCAAAAGTAAATGGATACAGGTGGCTAAGCTAAGACCATGCTTTGGGGAATTCATTAGGGTAAGCCTATGTTAAGCAGTGGACTGGTAAGGATTGTAATGGTGATGACGAATGCTTTGTTTAATTGTATGTTGTAAAAGCATTTTAATGTAGTTTTTATTAATAATTAAACAGTCTTGATATGGTGGGTTGTCACTAGTGTCATGAAATTTGACATTTCGAAATTCTAATCCTATCTTTTCCTTCGTCCGTGTCCGGCGAATTTAACTATGCGGGAACTATCGTTCTTTCCCATTGTGAGTAAAAAGATCGCTAGTTCTCATCACCAACCATACTCCCTACTACTACTATTATGAGGATAATACTGCCAAGCGCGGTGCTTTGTCTGATTTGGCAACTCATTATCGAACCAAAATAGGTATCTACCTAGTTTCAACATGAAAAGGGATGACCTTTATTTCTTTATCGGCTCTTAAAACTCCACTGCTGAAGCTTCTTCAGTTGTATTTGTGTTAATCGTTACGCTTGGCAGGCATATTGACGATCGCAGTGCCAGACGTCTTGCACCATAGACGATGCTGCCCGTCGACGGTCGGGTTACGTCTGACATGAACGATATGATTATACCGCCATCTATCGAAAGGCATAAGACTTTTCTGATATTTGCCTCAAACGACTCTCACGACACTTAAAGGACACTCAGGGGACCAAATAGTGATTAAATCTCTTACGTCGCCACGACGCGTTACAAAATTTAATCGGCACATGTCATTAAACAATGACAAAAATAAACAATGTTCTTATTGTAGGACTTTGAAGGAACAATCGGAACCGTTATAACATCCTAGGCATTCGGACAAATTAAAAGTAAAATTATATGAAAAATACAATGTCTTACCTTTTGGAAAAATATGCGTCCACCGCCTTCGGTTACTTGTAAGTTTCACTTTGACATGTGAAGGATCAAATGGATTGATAAGAGCTCTTCCAGTTCGAATGACGGGTTTATTTGATGAGATTGAACTTCTTGGAGACAGCCGATTGATGGATGTAGGAGAATCGGTTGTGTCACTGCTAGACTCGTTTACGCCATATTTACCTTAAAGTGAATACAAAAACACAGTATATTTTTTAATTTTCGAGTTATATTTGTGACATTACGGTTACGAGGAGGAGTTATATTTATCTTGGAGGTCATATATTTAGTCTACTCCTGTTCGCAATTTCCACCATCAGTACTACATGAGCCTATTCCGTAACAAGAAGGGTTTGCCGTAACCTAGATAGTTAACCAACATTTACCAGAAGCCTGGCTTTACCTATAGTCGTTTCTCACGATACATTCGAGAAGAAATGGAGTGATAAAATTTCTAACGTCACCGCCGCAAGGCTAAATCATTCTACCATTCAAAATATAAATTGTGTAATATAGACCAGTTGTGAGAAGCAGCGTCAAAGGTGGTCTGGTAGGTTTTGTACTCATCAGAAAGTATAACGATACGGCAAACCGTCTTAAATGATGAATACATTAGATTTCTAAAACAAACATTAAGATTATTCGCATACAGGCTGTTATATGTAACCTTAATATACAAATACAAAACTTATTAACTATTTTTTCACTTTTTTTAATATTTACCAAAAAAACTTATTCGGTTTTATTACAAAACGTGGTTTATTAATAATCTCTGGAGTAAAAAAACTTTTTTATTCCCGAAATTGATTTCGATTTCGAATTTGATTTTATTTTCGATTCTAACTAACCTTGTTTTGAAACAACTTTTAGAAGCAATCATTTTCAATAAATTAAAAATTAACTTGTTATTTTTGTTAGCTTAAATAGGGCAAACATATCAAGAAAAAGCATTCTCATAGCTTGCTACTACGAGCGGCATCTAGCGGCGGACAGCTGAAGACTTCCGTTCTGATAATTCCAATTTGAACCACCACTCGATTGTGCGCTAGCTGCGGTTTCGGGAATACGAAACATAGAGCACCACGGGTCACTAGCGAATCGGAGGGGAGTAGCCATACGCAGGCGTTCCCCGGAATCAAAGTACAAGTCCACGCGGATAAGTGTATGAGCACCATGAAGCTAATACAAAGGGGAGACGGCATAAGCAACTGTGCACTGTGATTCTAAGTAGGTCCTGACGTCATCATAGTGGGCGTGGCTTTAGTTAGTATACTGTCAGCATTCGTCCTGTGCGCTCATGTGTTGAAAAAATCGCAAATCGATGTATTTTCGTAGTATTAAGAAGAAAAGGATGAAGTGTTGTGTTTTATTGTGTAAAAACTACTCAGATAGACGCTCTGATGTTATGGATGGCATCACATTTCATTTGTAAATAATTTTACACCTAATTTATTAAAATAGTTCTAGAAAAATCTCTTTGCGTTGGCTTTCAAATATAATTAAATATATTCGACACTAGATGGCGACACTTTGTGTCATGTGAACTAAAATTATAAAGGTCCGTAGAGCTCAGTATTGGTAAAATAAACATAAGAAGGTGCTGAAATTTGTTTTGCATTCAGTTATAAAGTAATTTTAATCGCAATATATTATTTTTATAGTTTATAATCATTATGTGAACAGGCCGTATTCTATCATCAAGTAAACCTCATAAAGATAATAAAAAGGCAGTGCCGTAATTAGAATTCAATTATTTTATTCAGTAATCCAACTTTCAATATTAAAATGGAGGAAATTGTACTTAGGCTGATTTTCACGAAATGTTTAAGTTATATTTAAGTGACATTCTATATGCAAAGAATCACTTAAATACAATTTAATGTTCTTAGATTGGCATTCAAAAAGTGCATTCGGATGCCTAATTTGGAATAAAATATTTATATTTTAATTGATTTGTAAATAAAATTATATTAATTATAATAATTTGTCTATTATTTGTTCTCCCTCAGAGATATTAAGTAGCATAACCCACAGATAAATAATAGTCCAGCCGTTTCTGCGTGAAAAAATTACACATTTATTAAAATAGTTCTAGAAAAATCTCTTTGCGTCGGCTTTCAAATATAATTAAATATATTCCACACTAGATGGCGACACTTTGTGTCCTGTGAACTAAAAATATAAAGGTACGTAGAGCTCAGTAATGATAAAATAATCATACGAAGGTGCTAAAATTTGTTTTGCATTCAGACATAAAGAAGTTTTAATCGCCAAAATATTATTTTTTAGTTTATAACATTTTGTGGATATGCCGCCATCTACCGTCAAGGTAGCTAAGCTACATTGCAACATTGATATGGAAAGATTCGAGTAGTTTTACTATTTATCGGTAGATGTAGATAGTGTAGTGGGCGGGGCTTTGTATCCCCTCACCCCGCAAACTGTCACGCGTTGTTTCATAGTGAAATTGAATTACAACGTCTCCTCTTTGTATTTGCTTCATGATGAGCACAATAAAACTAGTAGCAGTTGCACTGCTCACTAGACTCAATCTACTTGCGCAGCTGAATCGACGTCCTAAAAAAATGCCGAGTTTTTCAGTTTTTTTTTTTGCTACAAAAAGAGATCTACCACGTCCATACACATATAAATATTTTTTACTCACATTATTTCGTTGTGTTGGTTCGGATTTGTTTACCAACACAGGTAGCACGCCTGTTAAAAATATACGGATCGGTCGAGCGACTGATCCGAGTCTGTATCCAAGTTGACGCTGTTGCCGAGCTATACTGTTATAATGTATATATGTGTGTGTGTGTGAAATTTTTAGTTTATTGTTTTAATTAATATGTGCGAGTATCGTAGTGACAGACGATTGTTTTTTTGTGCGCAGATATTCCCCGCAAAATATGACAGACAGTTTAGTATCGGGGAAAAACGCTATGGCTACTCCCCTCCGTTCGGCCAGCGGACCGTGTTGCTCTATGGTACGAAATTACCTTTAGTACTTTTGACATTTGTCAAATTTCATACTTTTTACCCTATTTTCCACGGAACTTCTATAATAAAATTGAAACCGAATTTAAGCGTATCGCTAAGTCGGTTTATATGGCAAGTATATAAATACATGTGTCAAACCTATCGAAATGAAGATAAAATTTCACCAAAATTCATAAAACTACAAGTAAACATTTAATCAACTACCTGTTAAACTGAAACACAACAGTGAATGCACTGCTGCTTAGTGGCAATAAAATGTAAGAGGAGTTTTAAAAGTAAGTATATAAATTCATTAAATGGAATAGTGAAAAAGTTAAGATTTTCACAGTGTAAAAACCACACTTACTTCCACCAGTCAGCATATCAGCGAGGCTATGATGGATATCTGGGTCTGACATTTTTCTATGGTGTACAATTGAAGCGGGCGGACTCTTCCGACTAATCCCTTCCAAACCAGCAACAGAAGTTTTCTTTGTGCGAGGAACTCTTTGGACACTAAAACATAAATTATTCTCAGCAGTATTGAAACATTTTATCTATACTAATATATAAATATAATAAAACGGAAGATTTTTTTTTAAAATTTAAACACGATAATCTCTGGAACTATCAGTCTGATTTGATTTTTTTGTGTATGATAGATAGATAGATTCATGAGTATCTATCTATCATATAATATATCATGCAGGCCATGAATAACTTTCAATAGTATAGGCTATCTAGCATTAGAATAGACCTCTTAGCTAGTCTTAGATATTGATTTTTGTAAAGCAAGTCGGAAAAAGCGCTCCCGAAATGCATTATGGGCGTCAGGGCACGCGTAATGGTTAGTGATACGTAAATACAATATTCTATAAAAATATAATCCTTTCATATTAATCTTTAATTAATCCTTAAACGAAAATTACTTCACCATCAAGACAATTTTATGAAGATAAACTTTGCTCTTTATAGTATGTTATTTGGACGCATGATATAAGAGATAATGCAAAATTAAAATAATTCAACACTCGGCTCGGCGCACGAACGACGCATAGCCCTAGCCGCCCGATGAGAACCGAGAGAAACCAGCAGTGAACACCTGCATAATCGAGGTGTCATGTGGCACGGTTAATCCCATGAATAACTTTTCATCACCTTACAATACAACCTAGTTTAACATCCTACTACAAATTATGGCTTAGCTTTCCATTGACGTCCGTCAAGATGGGTGTTGATACGTATTTTTACAGAAAGGTTACACTATTATAAGCACACACACATAGTTTCAACATACGGAAACGCGTAATTTTTGAGAAATTTTTTTATTGAAAATCAATTCTTCTTGCAATGTTTATGTCTAATCCTACCGTAAACCTGGCGCCATTTTGTAATGTCATTGTCGTCGTCAGTAGGGATGTCGATTCTTTCCGAAAAAGATAGATTTTTAAATCGATTCCAATCGTAAGCTGATGTATCGATTCACAAAAAATCGATTTGTAAAATATCTATATTTTTTCATGTTTGCATTTATAATGTAAATATAAATCCATTTTATGAAAAACAAGAAAGATACCATAATAAATGATCTCTTATTGAAATTTGTTTTATTTTAACAGTACCTATTAGGGCAGATAACAAATAAAATAGGTTAGGTTCAACTTATGTCAAAGAACCGAATTGATTGACCCCAACTCCACCTGATACGAGTCTGTCCTACCCCTAGATTGGTTTCATAGAGCCGGAGGTGCGTAGGGGGAGCAGCCTCCGCCTGCTGCTTCCTTGCCTACGCAGCTTCGGCTTGTTGGTCGCCTTCAGTGACCAGCCTCAGCCGCTACGGCTCGTCCGATTCTTCCTCATGCAGCCTCAGGCGTAGAGGCTGCTCTTCCCGCAGCGCCGGAGACGTAGCAGTCTCAATATAGATACAGAAATCCTTCTGAATCAATCCCCCTATTTTTTGTGAAGAAGGGGATTTTTTTCTCATAAGATGGATTTATATTTACATTATAAATGCAAACATAAAAAATATAGATATTTAGAAATCGATTTTTTGTGAATCGATACATCAGCTTACAATTCGAATCGATTTAAAAAAATCGAACTTTTTCGGAAAGAATCTACATCCCTACTGACAACGACAATATAAAATGGCGTCAGTTTTACGGTAGCAATTGACATAAATATTGCAAAAATAGTTGATTTTCAATATTTTTTCTCATAAAGTACGTCTCCAAATATTGAAACTTTGCATGTGTTTTTTTTTTTATAGGATCGAGTGACAAACGAGCACACAGTACACCTGATGGTAAGTGGTTGCTGTGGCCCATGGACATCTACATTTATCTTCGTTTGCGAATCAAAACGCAGATGCGTTGTCACTCGTGAGGACTAAGATGGAATGCCTCTTTTCCAGTAAAAAGGGTCTCCGGTTCTCTACACTCACCATACGAAACACAGCAGTATTAAACTGCTATTTGACGCTGGTATTCTGTGAGAGCGTGGTCCTTCCCCGGTCGAGCCGACCCATTCGCGGTACAACTATACTACTAATATAGCTGCAGCGTGGCTCTACCACGTAAAAAGATATAGATATAGTGTGCTTATAATAATGTAACATTTCTGTAAAAAAAAAATATCAACCTCCAACTCGACGGATGTCAATGGGGATTGGCATAAATATTGCAAAAATAATTGATTTTCAATAATTTTTTTCTCAAAAAGTACGCATTTCCGCATGTTGAAACTAACATTTCTGTAAAAAAATAATATCAACCTCCAACTCGACGGATGTCAATGGGAATTGGCATAAATATTGCAAAAATAATTGATTTTCAATAATTTTTTTCTCAAAAAGTACGAATTTCCGCATGTTGAAACTCTGCGCGTGTGCTTATAATAATGTAACCTATTTGTAAAAAAAAAATATCAACCCCCAACTCGACGGACGTCAATGGAAAGTCGTACCCAAATTATGTTATACAAGGAACTCTGAATGTCAATTAATTCTATCCAACTGTCCTAATGGGTTAGCAGTCAGCATCCTATTGTATTTCTTTAAATTATTTCAAAATTTTGAGTAAAATTCTTGCGATATGCCTCGGAATTTTATGACAAGAAATTTCGTACAACTAATGTGTAATTTTAGAAGTTGAAATGCTTCGGAAAACGCCCGGAAATAATAAATATTTAATAAAAAGCTAGCAGAAATACTAAACTTACCATGTGCTATGTGCAGGAGGTAACTGAAACACTTGTGCATCATATGCGTCGTAATCGAAAATAGAATTGTGCATATATTCATCTTCCTTTAACAGTTTTCCCTTAGTTTCATCCTCATACATTTTTTTCAAGGGCTCCTGACTTTTCCTTGGTGGCAACTTTATTCTCGGTATGAAGTTGGAATATGCCACTTTTTTATTTGTTGAATAAAATGACAAATTGATCCAATGAGGCATAGAATAATCATCAATCGAGTTGAGGTTGCTGTCTTTGTTATGGAATTTTAATAAAGGCACAGCATGTAAGGGTTGCTCTCCCACGCAAACTAAGTCGCTGCCAACACCATTATCAATTATTCTTTGTTTTGTCACATTAGTCAATTCCCTGTCCACTTCAAACACCCCCACCCCAGGTGTGATCACGACACTCAACTGTCCAGTTCTATCGAAGCATCTGTCTAAGTAATGTTTTTCGAAGACTGAAAATGAAAATAACAAATAACAAGTTACATGTTAAAAGAATAGAATAAAGTATAATGTAACTACATGTGACATATGAAGCTTCCATTAAGGAAGCAAGGTTTCTCGAGTAGCAAACTCCTACCGGTAAACGGAGTGTACAACAGTCTACTAGATGAAGTAACAACCCAGTAAAACTTTGCTGAAAAAAGTTGATGGATACAGGTGGTTTAGCACTGTGTTTCTATTTTGAAAACTGGTGGTAGAAATTCGACCGTAGTTTATTAAATATTTAGATTTGTGTATTATCACAGAATAAATAATAATACTACGGTATTATGCAAACTGTGTTTCACTTTGGACATTTTAAAATTCTTTGGCGACAATCTCAAATCTACATCGAAATTATATAAGATGTTATACCATTCAAACTCATGTTGAGTACTTCAAGAAAATTTCCTTGTGCAGCCGTAGAGTTGATAGCAGTTGGTATCTCCATGTTTGGTCTCTCATGATATTGCAAAACTATTTTCTGATAATCAGTAAATAATCTTCTTAACTGCAGTAGCACATTTGACCAGTCGTCATATCTTTCATTTTGTACAGCCACCCTAAAATTATGTTAACACAACATTATTCACAGTTAGGCAGTAGGTTGGATTGGTACTTTTCTAAACAGATTTATTTATACATAAGCTTACATAGTTACCTGAAACTTTTACATCAAATTTCCATGCGTGTAGATAAATACAGTTTGTATTGATACACAAATGTACACCTCTTATACTAAATTTTCTATTTTTCTTACACCAAGTTTTGGCTACCAATGTATTTAATTTCATAAATAAATACATAGCATAGGCATAAGAGTCACTCCATCTTGCTGTGTATGTGCGTTTAAATTTTTTTTTATATAAAAACTATTTGTTCGTCTACGTAGGTACGATAACTTCAAAAGAAAGCGAGTTTACCAAATAACCATCTCTGAATAAATCTAAATAATCATCGATGATGTTATACTGTTACCGTACAGGCTATTAAGTTCCACTGCTGAATATAGGCCTCCCCCATAGATTGCCTCATTGGGATTCCCCCTATGAGGCAATCTATGGGGAAATATTTATCATAGTTGCCACGATTGGCAAGCGGGTAGGCAACTGCAGTTTTTTATTTCTAGTCGTTATTAGGAAGACGCCCGTCTATTGACTTGCCTCTTACAACATTCACGGGATGAAATTGCGGTACCTAGTGGATATTCTTACACCGCCACTACACGGTATATGATGACGAAACAAACATATCGGATTTAAAATACCCGGATTCCAGACCAGAGATCGAAAGTGTGTTCGAAACACTCTTCTCTTTGCCAGTTGAGGATAGTTGTTATGGATTGATGAGAATATGAATCTTGTGACAATATTTAATTATCCAACAGTTAGTAATCGCCGTATTAATAATTAGGTACGATTACCTTCTTCTAATTTAGTAAATTAAATCAATTTCATCATTACAGGAAAAGTGCTACAAAGCTATCACTTTTTTTTTTAGAAAGTCGAAGTGACAAATGTACTCACACTCCACCTGATGGTAAGTGGCTACTGCAGCCCAAACAAAGAACAAAGAAGGCTGGAGATGCCTTGGCATCTCAGGACTAGGATGGTATGCTTCACAGTCTGTAATAACTCTGAATACCCTTCAGACCGCAATACAGCAGTGCACGTACTCTTATTTGGCGGCCGAAATAGTTAAGGAGGTTGTATCCACAGAGTACTTACCCAGAAAACGAGTTCTAGTAATATTATAAAACCAGCTGTTTCCCGCGACTTCGCTCGCGTGTTATTTGGGGTTTTCACTTTTTTGCGCGGAACCCTAATTCTTTTTCTAAAATAAAAGTCGTCTAAGTTACTCCTTGTGATATCAGCTATCTGCCAGTGAAAATCTCGGCAAAATCGGTCCAGCCGTTTCGGAGATTAGCCGGAACAAACAGACAGACAGACAGACGGACGGACAGACAGACAGATAGACAAAAACTTTAAAAATTGGATTTTTGTTATTACTACCGTATATACTTTCAAATGTATTAACTAAAAAGCTGTGATTTTGACATTACAAACAGACACTTCAATTTTATTTATTTGTATAGATTTATTGATATATGTATAATATTATGTAATTTTAATTTAATCATAAAACTTTGTCTATTTAATGACCAACCTGTAGAAATCTTCATAATATCTGCCTCTGTAATCTTTTTGTAAGCATTCTTTCATGTGCTGTGGAAATTCTTCTAAAGATTTGGCTTTGTAAAACGTTCTAGAAAACAATACTATTGTCACCTCATGATTACTTCCGTTTTTCTGTAAAGCGTCTAGTTAGATTAATAACTAAAGAACATAATTTTCCTTAGCATACTTTTTCATTTAAATTTCAAGATTTTGACTACCATCGACCTATAAAAAAATACCTAAAAATAGAGTTTTTAAGTGGTAATAACGTTAAAAAAATGCCAGTTTTAGACCGCGGCTAAGCTCTCATTTATTTATAAGCTGGCGATTTTTTTATCACTGCAATTATTTTAACTAAAATTAGCAGAACGCTCTAATGCAGAGCACCTCTATAGACTACATTAAATAATTTGTTTCGCTTATCGAAAACGTATAGATTTTCGGCCCGTGAAACACGCGAACAAGCTACCTATGCTAAAAACATGCCGTAATGTAATGCCGCCCTAATTACTCGCAAGATTTTTATTATTTTTTTAACAAAGAAAGCAGTTATGTATTTGACTAATCTATGATAGATAGATATAGAGCAGTATTTCCCAAAGTGGGCGATAACGCTCCCTTGTGGGCGTTGAAGACCTAGAGGGGGCCTTAAGGGGCTCAGCGAAAAATGGGGGGCGTTGGCGTGGTTTAGGGGGGCGATGGTTGATTTTTAATTCCATTTAGTTACTTTATATTCTAAAATTTACTAAAATTATAACCTACCTACTAGTCAATATCCAATAATTAGTATATATTTCTGCCCTGTATGATAGTATTTAAACCAGAAATACTTAACATAAATATAAGTAGAATAGCCCGCACGCAATCAAGTTGTAACAAGTTTTTGTTAAATTACCCTATTGGTGCAATCCGGTAGCAATCGGCTGGTTTATCGATACTTGTCTTAACTTGCTCAGTACGACTGAGCATCGAAAGAGATAAATGAGTTGTCTTATTCATGGCGGTGCGTGCTGTATTTAAATCCTATAAACGCTCGTAATAATTTTTATATTTTCATTAGTGCTTTCACGCGCAATCTTTAAACAAGTATTTAAATTCAACACTTTATTTACATATTTGTAAAAACAAAGCCATGTCCGAAGCAAAAAAGAAGAGACGGCAATATAGTGCAGAATATATTAGATATTGATTCATAGAAAATTCGACAAATCCATCTTTGCCTTTGTGCCTTCTTTAGTCAAAAACATTTTCAAACAAAGCGATGAAGACTTCAAGATCATTTGAATAAAATGCATCCAGATAAGAAGGACAAAAATGTAGCCTATTTTCAAGACCTGGAAAAGAAGCATAATGCTCAGCCAAGTGTATGAAAACTTTTTTCGGTGGCTGCTAAGCAAGACGATGGCGGACTTCGAGCTTCATACAATATCTCTTTGTTAATAGCTCGAAAAACTAAACCACACACCATCGGAGAAACGTTAATTTTGCCGGCAGTAAAATAATTTATAACTACTGTGCTCTATAAATCGGCGGCAGACATAATTCGAAAAATTCCTTTTAGCAATAGTTCTGTGCAAAGACGAATTCATGAAATGGCTGAAAACAATGAAGAGAAGATGAAAAACGGGGTAACACAAAAAGGCATCAATAAAGACAAATTTTGTGTAATTTATCCAATGCAGGCAACGTTCATAAGACCGCCATTTTGTTACGTACCACACCTCAATCGGCACTTGTCATTTTGAGGGATGGTTGTGTGTTATAAGGGAATATCTACGCTGTGAATTTTACGCGAGCAAGTCGGGTTTTTTAATCTTACCCCGTGTAGTGTAACTTCATTTACGAGGTAGGTACGAGTTTTTTATTTCTATACATACTTATTATTTTTTATTGGTAGTTATGTTGCTATGTCCAAATATCGCTACTTTTTGTATTTTAGGATTTATTGTAACATTCTGTCTTTACCCGCCAATATTTGACGAGGTAAGATAAACATATAAAAGTTTCCATCTTGCCCCGTTTTCAAAAATCATACTAATGGTCTCATGTTCTCAGTGTACCTGAAAAAATGTCTTTTTTTTGTTTTTGAAATTTTGAAATATTTAATTTTTTACGTTTTGTGCTACATATTTTGTTGACGAAAATGGTAAAAGGTACATGTACGTAATTAGGTTTAAAATTATATATATTTTTACGTGGTAGAGCCATGCTGCTGCTATATTAGTATTATAGTTGTAGCACGAATGGGCCGGCTCGACCGGGGAAGGGCCTCGCTCTCATAGAAAACCAGCGCAAAATAGCAGCTTAACGCTGCTGTATTTCGTATGGTGCCATTTTTAGAGAGAACCGGAGACCCCTTTTACTGGCAAAGAGGCATTCCATCTTAGTCCTCACGGGTGACAACGCATCTGCATCTTAAGTCTTTATTGAGGATAGATATAGATGTCTATGGGTCACAGTACCATCAGGTGGACTGTGTGCTCGTTTGTCACCCTATCCTATAAAAAAATCTACAATATTAAAAACTATAATAATAATTAGAAAAAAAAAAACAAAAACTAGAAACTTAATTATTATACAGTCCTACTCCCCGCGGTATCGTGCCAAGAACGCTCGCTGCGTTTCCCCGCTGAATGGCTATACTTAGCATTTGATACTGCCTATTTACATTGACTGGATTTATTATTTTAAAATTGTTATTTTGTATTGAAATTGATTTAATTATTGCTAAAATTTAGGAGACTGATTTTAAATTTATTGATTTTACTGGATATGGGTGTAATTTGCCTGAATAAAGATGATGATTATTATTATTATTATTATTTGAGCGAGAAAAGAACCAGCCCTCTTATCACCAGCAGCAACGACCAGCCGCGGATGGAGTTCATACATCGACAACATTTGGTATCTAGAAATTTAAGTGAACAACTGTTTCAATCATTGCAACATGTCAGCAGAGCAGTCAATAAAATCCGAAACAACTCTTTAAATGACAGATTATTTAATCAGCTTTGTGTTACTAATGTTGAAGATTTCAACCGATTGATTTTCACACAGAAGTGTGTTGGCTATCAAAAAAAAATAATATGTCTGACTCGATTTCCAATGTTTGACTCTGTCGTAGAGTTCTTGGAAAACAAAGACACAGAATTGCGCGACAACCTCATCACATCAAAGAATGATATTGCATACTTGACAGACCTTTATAAATTGTTTAATGATATGAATCTCCAACTTCATGGCGATGACTTGATTTTAATAAAAACAAAAAATGTTGTCGGTGCTTTCGTAGCCAAGCTGCTCTTACACAAGAAATATATCGGCAGACGTGAGTTCCATAATTTTCCCAATATATCAGTATCCTGCAACATCGACGAATTGCTTGTCTACCGCCAACATTTAGAAAATCTCCACAGTGATTTCATTCAAATATTCCAGGATATTTTGAAATTGGAAATACTAAACTGGGTGTCAGATCCTTTTTCAAATGTCAACATAGCAGTATCACCACAACTGGAAGAAGAACTTATAGAACAGTCAACGAACGAGGAAATAAAAATTAAATTAAAAAATGGCTACCAAGAATTTTGGCTACAAAAGTCAATCCCGCAGTTGTACCCTACATTGTGGTCGATCGTTCAACGATTTTGATAGCATTCCCATCGTCATATTTGTGTGAACGTGGATCTAAACACAGCGATAACGCTGTGACAAAAAAGAAATCTATGTTCTGTTCTGGATTGTAATCTATTATATTAGCAAGTTTTATCAAAATCCGCTTAGTAGTTTTTTTGCGAGATTGAGTTACAAATATAGATATTAGTAAAATCTCAGGTACGACTTTCCATTGACGTCCGTCGAGTTTGGTGTTGATACGTATTTTTACAGAAAGATTACATTTTTATAAGCACACACACAGTTTCAATATGCGGAAACACGTACTTTTTAAGAAAAAAATATTTTTGCAATATTTATGTCAATTCCTACCGCGAAACTGACGCCATTTTTTATTATTATTGTTTCCCTACTAACAATAATAATAAAAAATGGCGTCAGTTTCACGGTAGGTGTCGATTCATTCCGAAAAAGATCGATTTTTTAAATAGATTCGAATTGTAAGCTGATGTATCGATTCCAAAAAAATCTAATTATATTTACATTATATATTTGGATTTATATTTACATTATAAACGCAAACATTAAAAAAATATACATATTTTAGAAATCGATTTTTTGTGAACCGATACATCAGCTTACGATTTGAGTCGATTTAAAAATCGACCTTTTTCGGAAAAAATCGACATCCCTACTGACGTCGACAATGACATTACAAATGGCGCCAGTTTTACGGTAGGATTTGACGGTATTCCCTATTCATTTATGGTTAATATGGGCTCTTCATGTCAACAGATCTTTCTTAACATCATCAATCAGGTTTTTACGACAGGTCCTATCCCAGATGACTGGAAAACCCATATTATTATACCCATTTTAAAGCCTGGAAAAGACCCCTCTTCAGCATTAAATTACCGCCCTATTGCTATCTCATCAACCTTATCTAAAGTCATGGAACATCTCGTAAAGAATCGACTGGAGTGGATATTAGAAAATAGGGGCATTCTGTCAACCACTCAATTTGGTTTTAGAAAAGGTTTTAGCACAATGGATAGCCTTAGTATCTTAGTATCAGACATAAGACTTGCTTTTTCCAACAATGAGTATCTTGTAGGCGTCTTTGTGGATGTTCGTTCGGCCTACGATGATGTTATTCTTCCGCTGCTCAGGCAGAAAATGCAACAGCTGAACATCCCGGAGAGAATCACAAATTTCGTGTCAAACCTGCTTTCGCAGAGGCGCATATTAGTTCGCTCTGAAGGCAAGCTCACATCACCTAGACCTGTCTGGAAGGGATTACCTCAAGGCTCAGTTCTGAGCCCCTTGTTATACAGCCTTTATACATATGAACTTGATAGATCTGTAAACTACTTAGCTAATGTCCTACAGTATGCTGATGACTTAGTCTTATATGCATCCGACAGTTCCTTTGACCAAGCAATCTCCCGTCTATCGCAAGCAGTTAAATCCCTCAACTTTTGGCTTATAGAACATGTTTTGTCCATTTCAGCTAGTAAGAGTAACTCAGTAGTATTTACTAGACGAAGGTTTTCCCCAGATGTGCCTATCCATATTGATGACTCTCCTATACCTTTTCAGACTCAAGTGAAATTTTTAGGAGTATTTCTAGACAGTAAAATGACAGGTATCCCACATTTATCCTATGTAGCTGCTAAATGTGAAAAAAATTTAAATGTCATCCGATCTCTATCAGGCTCCTGGTGGGGCTCCCATCCTTATTCCCAAAAGCTTTTATATAATGCATTAATAAGAAGCCATTTCGACTATGGTTGTTTCTTACTGGAGCCATGTAGTAAAATGGCACTTAACATACTGGACAAAATCCAGTCAAAATGTCTCAGAATCATAACAGGAGCAATGAAATCTACTCCTATCCTCGCTCTCCAAGTGGAATGTGTCGAGCCTCCTCTTTTTCTCCGACGACAGTATTTATCAGACAGATTTTTATTTAAAGCTGCCTGTTATTCGCACCATCCTCTCCTATCTAAACTACATTCCCTTAACCAGTTAGTCAAGCGATCCCAATATTGGTCACATAAGGATTTGCCATGCATTATAAAAAGCTATTCCAAACTTGTCAATCTTCCTTCTCCAATCTCCAAGTCACTTAGGAACCCTCTCTACAATATTCCCTATGAGGCCCTAATATATAAGCCAGACATATTTTTAAATATTGGCATTTATAAGGACAGCACTGAACCAAATATTAAATTAAACATGATTCTAGCTGAAAAGTGGGTTGACTGGGTGATTATGTTCACTGACGCCTCAAAGGTCAGCGAAAAATGTTTAGTAGGATCCGCAGTGTGGATACCTAAATTTAAAATTATTTAAAATTTTAATTCCCCTTCTGACTCTTCTGTATTCACAGGTGAGTCATTGGCTATATTAGAGGCAGTTTTGTATGCTGAATCTCACAGCCTGAAAAAAACTCTCATATTATCAGATTCCCTTAGCTGCTTACAAAGTATTGCTTCCAGCCCATTTCAATTAAAAGTAAAATACCCATTAATTTTAAATATCAGAGAGTCTCTATTCAAATGTCATAAAAAGGGACTAAGGATTGTCTTGGCGTGGATACCTGCTCACTGTGGGATTCAGGGCAACGAGGTTGCTGATCGGATAGCTAAGGAAGCAGCTAAATCTGGATTACTACCCAAACACAATATTTACTCATATGACCTCCTGTCGAAGGCTAACTTAAGTTTACACTCCTCATGGCAAACCATTTGGCATCAGTCAAAACTTATAAAACGTAAAAATTATGCTAATGTCCAAAATAATATCCCCCTAAAACCTTGGTTCTTTAAAACCCGTCACTTTAGTAAAGTGATTACCTCAACTGTTTGCCGTCTCCGATTCGGTCACACCTGCACACCTGTACACCTAGCTAAATTAAGGATTAGGGATACGTCAATCTGTGAATGTGGGTTAGGCGAAGGAACAGTTAACCACCTGTTTTTTGAGTGCCCCAAGGTCTCCTTCTCCTTTTATGATATACTCCCTAACTACATCCCTCGTCCTACTAATTTCTCATACTTACTGTCCCTTGTGTTTACTCCCTTTGTAAATATTTTGTGTGATTATATTAGAACTAATAAAATTAAGTTGTAAGATTACTAACATGGTGATGGTTATAAACTTGTGGCGTCTTTTGTTGTAGATTGTGAAGACCTACACAAACAATAATAACTTGTAACTATTGTAAACACTCTCTTGTCACTCCCATGACTGACTTGACATTGGCAGAATTCTAAAAAGAGGGGCCTTATGGCCTAACTAAGAAAGAAGAAGAAGAAGAAGATTAGACATAAACATTGCAAGAATAATTGATTTTCAATCATTTTTTTCTCAAAAATTACGCGTTTCCGCATGTTGAAACTTTGTATAATAGTGTAACTTTTCTGTAAAAATACGTATCAACACCCAACTCGACGGACGTCAATGGAAAGCTAAGCCAAATCTCACACATATGTTGCTTCTAATCTATTGATAATTTTTATTAGCTTCCTTTATTTTCCCAATCTCAGTTCAACCCCTCTGTCAGCGTCACTGAAATTAATAATCGCAGTTTCGATTGCTGATATAAAGAGAAAAAAAAATGCTCTCCGATTGTAAGTGGCTCCTAAATCCCTTGCACACGTGCTACCAACTTCAAAAGAAGACTAGAGATACATTGTCATCTCTGAGTAATAAGAACACCTCACAGCCTGTTACACACTAGCACTAAAAATTATTAAACCTATTATAAATATATAATATTAAAAAATTATTTAGGCCAATGAACTGCTTCCAAGTTGTCATGTCCTTATTATTATTGAAAAAATAAATACCTCTTTGAACTAATAAATCGCTTTAGTATTTGGTGTTGTTAGTCGCCAACATCAGATGAGCTAACTAAAGAACAATGTATCTAAATTGACTTAAAATTTATTTAATAAACTAACAATTTAATATTTGTGTTTAATTATCACTCACCATTATCTGTCATCGTGAATCTACCAAGTATTTTTATTATAAAATTTGATCTTGTTGTCAAGTTAATTGCATTTTCTATGTTGTGGTGTTAATTAAAATAATATGGTAGATTAAAATGGTACGTCTTTTTAACACAAAAAGTTAAAACAAAGGTTTAGTATATCAATGATTGAAATGTCCATAAAGTCCCACTGGACATCCAGACGCTTGGCGAGTTTCCGCCCCTATCGTTGACTTATCATGCATTTGAAACAATTATGCTTTTAGTTCATGTACAAAATAATTTAAAATTAAAAATTTTGTACAGCCGACTTCAATATTAAGAGTAACTCAACAACTATTGGTCTGACATTGATCAAATTCATATGGGACCACATGAGAAGTATCAGCTTTCAAATAACAAAAGAATCATCAAAATCGGTTCACCCAGAAACAAGTTATGAGGTAACACACATAAAAAAAAGAAAAAAAAACATACAGTCGAATTGAGTATCATCTCCTTTTTGGAAGTCGGCAGGAAAAAGCAATGGAGTAGAATTAACCAACCGTATGTCCTTCCATCCAATTACAATCTTAAACATTAAACATCATTACCACTAACCATCACGTGGGATAGTAGTCAGACACTCATAATGAAAAAAGAAAGAGCCCTTGTTTTTTAATTTATTTATAATTAGTCAATATGGATTCCTCCGTATTATGTTGAAGAAACATAATACAGAGAAACCCATACTAACTAATTGATAATCTATTAATTTAAATTAATAAAGCCCATTATGTTAAAGTTCTTGAGCACTAATATTGAATTTACAAAAATAGTTATAAAGTATGACTATTATATTTTTATTAACATATTACCATACCTTCCACTTAGCAAATAGATCAGCAAGAAAACCATTCACAGCCTTCTCAAAATATAAGTCTCCATGAATATCAAAATCCCACATTTCTGAAGACATTTGAATGAACAGGTAGACCATTGAAGTTGAAGACCTAAACACAATTTTAGTATCCTCAGTGATGACGCCACAGGCAACTCTGTCGCCTTGAGACCACATTTCGTAAACTTGACATCGGATAGCTCCTCCACAATATTCAATTTTTTTATTCAAATACACACATGTGTTTACCTAAAATGGATATTTCATTATAATAATACAATGAGTTTGTATTAATATGTAGGTTAAGTATTCCACTTTTTAACAATATAAATAACACATAAAAGTAAAATGTAAAAATTACATACAGTCTATATAAAATGTCCTACTGCTGGGTACCTACAGTTTAGGGTAGAGGTTTATGGATTGATTAACCCTTGAGTTACCACAACCAAATAAGAAACAGCTTAACTACTAGCTGGAAAAAATGGAGTATGTAAATGTCTGTCCACAAATAGCTGTTTAGGTCAGTAAAAACTACAAATCAAATAAAGAGAGGTTTAAAATATAACAAAAACTCAGGTCTCCTAAGTGGCTGTTAGTGTATTAGAATTACAACTTTATCGGTAGTTGAGGACACAATCATTAATAAATATCTTGAATTTTGAACTTGACTTATAATTTGAATTATCTACTTATCATTTGTCTCGTCATAAAACTTTGAGGATGGCTGTTTGAATATTGATGGATTTTTCTTTTTATAAATCTCCAGTAGCAGCCTGGAGCCAGTAAGATATTAGTGTTTCACTCCATGCCTCCGATAGCATGTAAAGCCATTGTACCTGTGCTTGATCTCTTTCCAATCGAGTTGCATTGCCGTCTCATTGGATTATGAGTGAAGGATTAGAGAGAGCACACATATTCATGCACTATTATCCTGTCCTGCACAGATGGCTAGTATTTAATTAAGGCTGATCACCGTGATCGAAATTCATTCTGGAGGACATTATCAGGCTACCACTATAGAATAGAATAAGTTTTAATTCAATATAGATTAGATGTAATTATTATTGAGTCATTTTTGAATTTTACCACTGATTTGGAAAAGAAAAACCTCTGTCCTGGGAAGAACCAGCAAGAAAACCAATGTGACTTTTTTAAAAGTAAATGACGCAATGAGAAAGGTTTTACAAACTATTTACAAAATTCAATTTAGATTCTAAATTTTAGAAGCAGCTTGGAAGCGACCACCTCATTATCACGTATTCATTTAAATTATAACATTTTTTTATATAGTTTTTGATTAATAAAATATTTTTAAAAATTGGTAAAGAGAGACCTTATATGTTTTCTGGGATTTTGTTGTATTAGCATATACATTGTCCCATGAATGAATTACTGACTCTGTGCAAGAAATTGGTATCACTAGCTTGTTTATACAGTTTATATTAAGAAAACTTTAGTTAACAAATTAATAATAAAGAAAACTATATTTTCATTATTAATTATAAATTGGACTAAACTCACTAAATTATTTTTTAATCTCCACATTTCAGATCGTCCCAGGTATTGATCTCTAAAGGTTAGTTCCACTGAATCCAATGCAACATCAGCTATATTGACAATATTCACATATACATCGGCAAAAGTTCTCAGTTGAAACGTAGTTGCTATGCTCTGCTCTACACTTATAGTATCTAAAACATATGAAGAATAATATATTCATCCAAGTGTTTCGAATATCTGCATTGTGAAATGAAAAACATTTAACAAATAAAATTATCAAGCACATGTTACCTATATTATCTAAACTGTCAATTATATAGTATTTATTATAATTTTAATTGAAAGTAATTTGTAAACAATATTTTTCAGACTTTTTTGAAAGAACACAGGTTACTGTACTTTAAAACTAAATATTTGAAAATTAAACCAAATTGAAAAATCCTTGAACTGCCACATCTTTATATCAACTCTGCCATAGCTTGTTGGCTAAGGATAGAGGGGCTAGCCCTTTATCATGCAAAATGAAGTTCTTATAGAATGGATCATTCGATCATGTCAGGAAGTAATTATGTAAGCTGCACACTTCACGGTTATGCATGGTGAGAGCACTTAAAAAGCCGCACCCACTATGTTCTCACGGCAAGTACAGCCTCATTAATGAAGATCTCGAGTGATGCATCCTGTGGAGCATCATAAAAGTGCAGACTTTTCTATCTAGATCATGCCCTCAGAATTAGTAACCCTTCTCTTTCAACATGGAGGACCACACACTTACACTTCCCCAGCTCCATTCTGATAGAACTGATAAAATCACAAGTGATGTTTACCAATTCCATAAGACGGGAGCAACTAGAGGGGAATAATTTGAGATCATCCACATAGAAATTTTGGATCACTTTTGTCCCTCCTTTTCGAAGCTGAAATCCCGGATCCCTCCAATAAGGTACTGAGAGCATTCAGAGAGAGAGAGAGAGTAATTATTATTATTATTATTTGTAAAAACACCCTTTCTAATCTGAAAGAGCCACTTAGGGACCACAATATTAATTAAATATGTAAAAATTAAATGTAAAAATATTTTTACAATTTGCTCAAAATTCAGCAAGCTTAAAGTTTGGCAACAATGACATCAGGAACAGTATCTTCGATAATTTCTCTTCTTCGACAACCAGCAAATGTAAGCAGACTTCTAACCCTTGTACTTCTCTCAGATTTGCCCACAGTTACTTTAATGTGGTTGTTTCAATTGCTGTAATACATTGTTTTGAGAAATACTTATATGAAATGTGTTTTATTTTTATGAAAAAATCTTGACCTCAAGATATTGTTACCCGATAGCTACCCATTCCATATGTATTGCCATGTAAGTTTCCCATTTAATTGGCTTTTAGTTTATTTTTAAGGGGTAATTAATTTTTAATTCTCTGAACAGGATTATGTGAACAAAATGTATCACTATACCTAAAAGCACCATCACTGATCGGATATAGTATTTTTATATATTGTATAGGTACTATGTATTACTTTTATTTGTATATATTAAGCAATCTATTGTAGTCTATTGTATTGTAATTTAAACAAACATAAACAACAAAAAACAAATGTTACCCTTTACTGCTCGGCCTGGAGCTTCCACTTTTGACACTTGTAGGAGTAATCTAGGATAATCATTTTCAGGATGATAGATTTCAACTATATCTTTTTCTTTTAATCCAGGATAATCTTTCAGGTTTATTATTAAATCTACAGCTGAAATTGTTACAATAATATTAGAATATCTTTATGAAGTGTAGAACAATCTCCCAATAGATGAAGCGAAGACCTGGTAAGACAAGCAAGTCAATGATTGCATGTGTTTTGAGGCACTCCTTGGGGAGGAGTTTCGGCGGGAACTTGACCGGCGGCGGTTTGTTGCTCCTGTATTATTGTTTAAATAATGGTTTGAAGTGGATTTATATATGTAAATGTGGTGCGATTTTGTGTATTAAATGTCTGTGCATGTGAACTATTAGTGGAAACTGTGAAACAAGTGCTCTGATGGTGATGTGATTCTCAAAATAAGGTGTCTGTCTGCTTAGGCGCCTTGAGATACCATCGCCAACCATCAGCTGTCTGCTGGCTCAAGTTACTGTCAAAATCTCCCAAGGGCTGCACAATGTGATGCATCAACACATTGTGAAGCAGTATACTATGAAGGATAATTATTATTATTATTTATTGTAACTTCAGGCTCAGAAGGGCTAGATCCCAGAGCCGTAAAGCCAGTTATTAAGAAAGAAAAAAAAGCTACTTGGGGAGCTCTTTGTTTAGCAATTAAATTATTGTTAATTAATATAGGTGACTTTGTGTTGTGTAAAGGCAGTGTAATAATTTCCACTACTTCATATCATTCCATAGGTGTTGTAAGAGGCGACAGAGGGAAAATGAAATAGGAGATGGGCAGCAGCATCTTGCTGATAACACCTAAAAAAATCAAAAAACTAAGGTTCAAATGTAACAAAATCGCTCTGAAAAAATGTATAAGGGATGTCGATGTTCAGCAGTGAACTTTTGTTAGGCTGTAATAGATGTTAAAAGAATGAATAATGAACACGTTACAAGTAAAACAAAACTTACGGCTGAAGCTGCACTGGTGAACAATAAGTTTAAAGGATTTCATGTTTTCTGTTTAACTTATTTTTGAATTACGTTTATATAGGTTTATAGCAAACATCAATGAAACATTCCAAGTTCCCAATAGTATCATGAGAATTATAACGTCTATTTCAGTTTCCAACTCTAAGAATTAACATATAGTTGTCGTGTCATAAATTAGTAAAACACGATTTTATGAAAGGATTTTTATAAAATATCAGATTGTAATTGTATCACAAAACAGAAACATTCAGTAGGTATGTATGTATTGTTTATTATAAAAATATTGTCGACCATAATACGACCTACGTACTTATTTCCTATATATATAAAAGTACTCTGTGGTACTTATTTGTTTATCTACTTCTATCACACTATCACAGACTATAATAATTTTTTTTTATAGTAGAAGTAGATTCGAATGTAATTTTTTTTTTGGAGTTTATGGCCTGGTATCTAGACCTTTAGGCCAAGTCTTAAGTATTTTTATTCGGTTTATTGTAATTTCCCCACTCCTTCATAGTATACTGCTTCACAAAATGTTGATGCGTCACATTGTGCAGTTCTTGGGAGATTTTGGCGGCAACTTGATCCAGCAGACAGCTGATAGTTGGCGATGGTATCTAAAGGTGCCTATGCAAACAAACAGCTTATCTTGAGAATCCATCACCATCAGAGCACTTGTTTCACTGTTTCCACTAATAGTTCACATGCGTAGACACTTAATACACAAAATCGCAACACTTTTACATATCAAAGTCCACTTCAAACCATTATTTAAACAATAATACAGGAGCAGCAAACCGCCGCCGGTCAATTTCCCGCCAAAACTCCATTCGAATGTTATCTCTATCTATGATCACAGAATATATAACTATTGAGTTAGGAGTTTTGGCGGGAACTTGACCGGCGGCGGTTTGCTGCTCCTGTATTATAGTTTAAATAATAGTTTGAAGTGAATTTTGATGTGTAAAAAAAGGTGCGATTTTATGTATTAAATGTCTACGCATGTGAACTATTAGTGGAAACGGTGAAACAGGTGCTGTGATGGTGATGGATTCTCAAGATAAGCTGTTTGTCTGCATATGCGCCTTTAGATACCATCGCCAACTGTCAGCTGTCTGATGGCTCAAGTTGCCGACTTGCCGTCAAAATCTCCCAAGGGCTGCACAATGTAACAAATCAACATATTGTGAAGCAGTGAACTATGAAGGATAATTATACATTTGGGGAAATTATAATAAACCGAATAAAAATACTCAAGACTTGGCCTAAAGGTCTAGATACCAGGCCATAAACTCCAAAAAAAACCATTGAGTTATATGTACTTACTAGATAAGCCATTCCAAACAAAAATTGTGTCCTACTCTATGTCTTCGCGCATGCGCGGGAGTAGTGACACGCTCTGTAGCCTAAACTGATTCAACTGCTTCATGAATTTTAACATGTTATGGATCGTTAGATTTGTCTTAGTTACATATAGTATTTTATATTTTTTCTTTTCAGGAAACTTGATTGGTTTTGTTATTTATTACTGTTTTAATCATTGGGCTTGTTTAACAAACAACAAATAAGATAAATAAATTGTTATAATATTTTGATATGACTTCTATTAAACACAAATGTAATTTTTCAAATAATAAAATTACCCCCGCCCTCTCCTTACAGATTTCTTACAATTCCTCCTTTATCGGTCACAATCAACTACTGGCCATGGGTCATAGAAAAAAAGGAATGCTCAAAATTTTACAGTTGCCATTGCCACTTACCTCGGCAACCTGTCCTAAACATCGAACGGAGCACCCACGTTCCGCCGAGATTAAATTAAAATAAAATATTTTTTCCCTCCTACAATTTTTTTTATCACTATTACAACAAACACTTTGTAATAGGTGATTTCCCAAAACATTTTATTTTTCGACTGTCTTGCAACCGTCACACACTTGACCTTCATAGAAAAATTTGATATTTTAATTCTTAATAATTTTTATTTAAGAACAGTAAAATTAATTAGCAAAGTGAAACCGCGTTATATATACCTTTATTTTAATTACAACAATCGTATGTACAAGAAAGGAGAAATGTAGTTTTGAAAAATAAGGTGTTAAATCTTCCTGTGTAAGTAATTAGAAGTAGTTCTAATGAAATATTGCACATTATTTACAATTTTATTATTTAATTTTGTTCTTAATGATTCTTTTAGTTTTATAAACTCAAAACATTTAAAAAAGAAATAAGTCAAATAAAATTATTGTACTCGAAGTTACAAAGTATTTCGTATGTACCCCCAAGCGGGTGTTGATATTCGGTTATAGGTTTAACTCATAGAGTAGAGTAATATATACCGGAAATTTAACTGCAAACAAAAAAGTTTGGTAAAATAAATTTATTCCAATAAGCATTATTAAAATTAAATATCAAACTTTCTTCTGTCTTTTGTTCTTTAATCTGTGAACGTAAGTTTTCGTCTACTAAATCGCACGCATTTTATAGATCCAATACACATTTTGTATACTAAATATCGCAGTTTTTGCCCTATAACAAAATATTATAAGTATTATACATTCTAATAAATATTCATCCTCCCACAGAAGTCCAACAATATCAAATCGTATGGTGACGAGTAGAATGGAATACAATCCATAATAATACCCTCTCGCTCGAGGGTTTTTAATACCTCTATTACACTGCCCTGAATCAGGGCCCTGAATTAAGAGTGAGCGTGGCCCCTAATTAGGGACACCAGTTATCACACTGCAATGGTTTTACGCCCTTACTCAGTCATAGGGATGGGCAAGTGAAAAAAATATCGATAATAATCGTATCGATATTTTTAAACAGTAACAATTTATTTCGCGTGATAAATGTTTTACATGTAGGTGTAGATGTATGTACATGTAGGGTAAGGGCCATTTCTTTTTAAATTAATTTTTAACAGGAAACAATTATTTTTTAAACATTATTTACTTTTACGTCTATTTCTTTAGAATTGAATTTAAAAATAATTTTCAAACCTGGTGCCCACCCAGTAAGCGATTTCTCTCCTGGGTGATTGTGACTCCAGACTCTGAGAATTACCGCTCACGGGGTACCAAAGTTGCCACGGTAGGTAAATAGATCTTAGCTAGGCTTTGAAGCCCGGAAATAACCCCTACAGGTCATCTCACATTTCCAACGTACTACGTAACTCCCTTTATGGGAGTTACAGGTGATAACATGAACATATGAAATTCTGTTTCTGCTTTAGTTTTCTCCTTAGTTTTATTTCTTATATTGTGGTACGTTAATTCTTTATGGTAGTTCCATATGTCACCTTGAGTATTATGGCCTTTTCCCGAATTCATCTACAAAACTATACTATTCCGAAATACAAACAGGTGAATAACCGTTCATCCATCAAAACCAATATTTCAGAAAAGTGATTTTAACGAAATACTAAGTACCGTAAGCCGATAAAATAATTTCCGTTACAAAATAACTATTAAGTACCTTATAAGATTATTCTTAAGCTATTGATCAAATACAGCTCAAACAATATAATTAAGTATTATTAAAAATGAATAAAACAATTTCAATCCGTTTTCTGCCGACTTCCAAAAAGGAGCTGGTACTCAATTCAACTATATGTTCTTTTTTAATGTGTGTTAACTCATAACTTTTTACTGGGTGAACCGATTTCGATCATTCTTTTTTATTGAATAAAACTATTTTTACGGATTTTATCGCGTTTAATTAACTTATTTTATATTCCCGACGTTTCGGTTGCTTTCCAGCAACCGTGGTCACGGGGGACTGAGGTGATTGACGTCCCGATGTCAAAGTTAACCCGGAGTACCTTCAGCTTTTTAATTATTAATTTTGGTCCGATCTACGCAGAATGAACTAACTGTGTCTTGAAGTCTTGCAGTGGTATGCTTGGGTTTAGTTTTAATTTTATGAATTACAGGATCCCAAGCAGGTGGTAGTACCCAGCCTCCCTCTCTATTGAAATTAGAGTGTTTTTTAATTTCAATAGCCTCACGTATCATCCTTGGCAGGAATCGATGTTCTTTCGCGAGGACTTGTGGTTTATCAAATCTAATGTAATGGCGGGGGCCGTCTAGGATATGATCACAAACTGCAGACTTCCCGGAACGTTGGTGCTTCACGTCAGCTATGTGTTCTTTTACGCGGGTTTTTATTGATCGTTTTGTTTGCCCTATATATGAGAGACCACACTCACAATCAAGCTTGTATACTCCTGCATCTTGTAGAGGAATATTGCACTTGACGGATGGTAAGAACTGACTAATCTTCTTCGGCGGCTTGAAGAATGTTCTAATAGAAGCTCGCTTCAAGATGTAGCCAATCTTGTCTGTGACACCTCTGACATATGGTAGTACAGCAGGCACACGCTCGACTGTGGCCGGCTTCACTCGGTCACTGTGACGTAGGCGCGGAACCCGAAGCTTGTTGTCGTGCAGAACCTGCTTGACGTGCTGAAGCTCGGCGGCCAGGTGTTTGCTGTCACAGATCCCTCGTGCTCTCTGCAACAAAGATTTGCCCACGGTAGCTAACTGTGAAGGGTGATGGTGGGATTCACCGTTCAAGTATCGGTTTGTATGGGTCTTTTTTCTATACACAGTGTGACCTACGGTGTTATTAGGATTTCGAATGACTAACATATCTACGAAAGCTAAAGAATTATTTGCCTCTAACTCCATAGTAAATTGAATTTTAGAGTTTATGGAATTAAGATGTTCTAAAAATGCAGTTACTTTGTCTGATGGTAAAATTGTGAAAGTATCGTCTACGTACCGCTTGTAGAAACTTGGAGTTACTGGTGCAGTAAGCAGGGCTTTCTCCTCAAATTCCTCCATGAAAATATCGGCGACAATGGGAGATACTGGTGAACTTTTTTATTTGAAAGCTGGTGCTTCTCGTGTGGTTCCAAATGAATTTCATCAAGGTTAGACCAATAGTTTTTGAGTTATTAGAGTTATTCTTAATAACTTATATTGATGTCGGCTGTACAAAATTTTTAAT